CCCTAAGGCCCAAACCCTAAACCCTGCTATTCCTAAAGCCTTGCACTCCGCGTGTCGGAAGGCGAAGAATCGGAAAGTCCGGAAGCCCTGCGAACCCAAAACCCTCTTGCCGAACGTAAGGGTTTTGGGGCTCAGGGTTTAGGGNNGGGTTTAGGGTTTAGGGTACAGCGCCTTTCTAGATGCAAGCTTCGAGAAAGCCTCTTGATTCCGTAGCAACTGCGAGAATTGCATGGAACCCTGAGTCCGTACCACCCGAAAGCCCTAGGCCCTGAACCATCCTAAATCCAGAAGAAACCCGAAAACATGAAACCAGGACAGCCTGCTTACTGGCCTCACAGCTGGTGGCAGCGATCTTTGGCACTGAGATTCATCGGGGCAAAGCTGGGTGCTTGTTTCTTCTCGGGCTTCTGCAGGGTTTTGTAGTGGTTTTACTGGTACGTGGTTTTAGGGTATGGGCTCCAGAAATTCAGGTTTCTTCATCGGTTTTGCCAAGTCCTCTTTTGCGACAACATAGTGCAACACAACCAGCGCTGTTTCAACAATGACCTCTGCAATGCATGATGGTGATGATGAGTATGATGATGATGATGATGATGATGATGATGATGATGATGAGGTTGTTGCTGTTGTTGTTAATGCCTGTCAGAACGGTGATAATCGCAACTATGATTGTCATTATCGCTACACCCTCCCTTCCGCGTCATTTTTCAGGCATTTGTGCCCTGGAGCCCTCAGACTGGTAAGCCTCTAACCCTAAACCCAAAGCCCTAAACCCGAAACCCCGAACCCTGAACCCCAAACACCTAAACCCCAAAAAGCCGCGGAGTGTCCAATAGCTTATGTACAGTCCCCACAAGGAGTGCGGAACAGTTGCTGTAAAGGCGGTGGGGTCTCGTCAGCGCAGGAACGACGGCTCTTCTGGCTAAGGATCCAATCGTCGCTCTCGCTCGGATCGTCCGCTGACTCCTTGCATAAACTCCTTAGGGCTTAAGCCAGAACCCCCCAATACCCCTAAACCCAAAACCCTGAACCCCTTTTTGAACCCGCGCAGAGTTCCTTTGATAGCCCTCAAAGGTATCGTCAAGGGAACCCTATTCAAAGCAAAAAAACTTATACCAAGCTTAAACAGACAATCTGAAACCTGGAAAACGGTGTGCAATACCCTACAACAGGAGACCGAGAACACCATCATCTGATAGAACCCTCATAGACCCTCCATGGAACCCTATAAAGCCACTATAGAACCCTTGCAGCCCGACCCTAAATCCTCGACCCTAAACCCTAAACCCCTACCCTAAAGCGTGAACCCTAAACCCTAAACCCTAAACCCTAAACCCAACCGTCCCTTCCTCACTCAGGAGCAGGCTCTGAAGCTGGTCCCGGAGATCTATGCGAAGACCCGGCTTTCGGGGAAGAGGGGGGGGGGGGTTGGGGTGGGCTGTGGAGTTTAGGGGTTCAGGGGTTTAGGGTTTAGGGTGTAGGGTTCAGGCTTAAGGGTTCAGGGTTTATGGTTTAGGGGGTNNGGGGGGGGGGGGGCCTACATGGTAAGGTTGTGGCACATCATACTTTTGCCGTCATCGTACATGATATGGCACACGCACACACATAGTTTTATACATACACACATGCATACAGATACATACACATAGGGATATATATATATAT